ACTTTGCTGCCATGTTTGACATGAAATGACCGAGCTTCATTCATGTTGTTATTCTTGGTTTTCGAAAGGGTCGCTCGTCTAGATCTTTTCCTGACCCGACTCTCATGATCTTCGGCATCAAACATTCGTATCGTTTCATGCCTTAAAGCTCAAAAGTTTTTCCCGATATGAATTACCACGCATCCCTCGTTTCGGTGATCATTAGGAAACGGGAATTCAACAACTATTTCCTCTAAATGTTTTTCCCGAAGGATTCCCGGGAATATCTTCCGAACATCTAAGCTTAGTCCCACATCAGACCTTTCGAGATCTTCGTAGAAATTGATTCTGCAATCCTCAGATTTCGGATGCCCTTAGTGCTTGGTAACATCTATCCAGTACATCACGTCTCGAATCCCTAGAAATACCTACCTGACAAAACCCTAGTGATTCCTTTGAAAATACCGAAGCCGTCTAGGGTTGAAACCTCCATGGGAGAATCAATTGGGATCATAGATTGAGAGAGAGTCAAAGTACGAAATGAAGACACGTCCCGATAGTGAGGGTTCGCTGGAACGCCCAACGGAGACCCGATTCCACTTGAGAAAGTGAAGATCTGAGGCAACAAATCCATTCGTGTCTTATTCCAAATTCATGATCTATATCTTATTCTCTGAATTTCGGGATGAAATTCCCTCTAACGGGGGGATAATGTAACAACTCGAAGTTGTTCATCGCCAAAACCTATTCTATCCGAAAAATTCGCCGTTATCAAATTCGTTCCGTTTTCACTTTGGGTTAAATTATTTAAACTTATATGTTTATTATAATTTAATGAGTGTCCAAACCCCTTTGGAATTCATGAAACTAACCCAAAAGTGTTTATTTCAACAAGACAGAAACGTTCCCGCCGGGTTACGGTAACTTAATCGGGTGCAACCAAAAGCCCCGTTTAATGCCGGTATCGGGTAGAATTCCACTGTGTCCAAGTTTTAGGACCTATATAAACATGTTTAAACATTCATTTGAAGCTTTTTCTTCCTCTCTCTACTCTCTCTCTAACCTCTCTCCTAAATCTAAGTTCAAGGGTCCAAAACTCAAATCTAAAGCTGCAAATCTTTGAGGTACCTTCCCTAGGTTGTTATGTAACCTCCCTAGCCTTCAAATTCGAGTTCAAAACATGGAATAAGACCACATTCATGAGTTTACGGCCCTGGAACAGTCCTAGGCTGTGAACTCATACGAAATGGGTTTTGAAGCCCCAAAACCCTTCCAAAACATAATTGGACCTTAGATATGGTTAGATGACTTTATGGAATGGACCTAGAATGCCTTAAACTATAATTTAAAGCCTTTTATATGAGTTTATGGCCCTGGAAGGTGCCTAGGCCGTAAACACACATTTAAAGGGTTTTTAAGCCCTTAAACCCTTCTTAGACCCCAACAAGACATGGATATGACTTCTAGAATAATTGCTTTAGCCTTGGAACACTTTAAAAATAAATTTTGGGGGATTTATATGAGTTTACGGCCAAGGCATGTGCTTGGGCCGTAAACTCCCCAAACATGGGTGTAAACTCACTTCTAAGGTGTTAGAAAGCCATCCAACACCACCAAAAGCCTTGGAATAAATCATAGAACCAACCAAAAATAGTTTAAGGGCTTTAAACACAACAAAACCTCACATATGAGAGTGTACGGCCATAGAACATGCTTCAAGGCCGTAAACTCCTAAAATCATGTCATATTGTGCCCAAAAATCATTTCAAGGCTTGTAGGAATTTTTAGAATCACATGTGATTAACTTTGGGACATTAAAATCACTCATTCAAGGGAGAATGAGAGTTTACGGACATAGGCTCCATGCCAAGGCCGTAAACTCCCTTAAGTATGTCCATTTAGTGTTTAAAATTTATTCCAAGCCCTTAAACCAAACCTAGAAATTATCCCCTAAGTGTTTTAAGCCATTTTGCACCATAAACCACCCCACCATGAGTTTACGGTCGTAAACTCATGGGGAATGGGTGTTATGGCCAAAAACTCCATTAAGAAGTTTACTCTTGGGGAGTAAACTCATTTCCTAAGTCCCTCGCATCATTACATGTCCTTAAACGTCACCCGGGTCCTTCCAAACACTTGAAATGGGGTGTTTCCGCGACTAAAAGTGTTTGTTCCTAATTAGATACAAATAAGTATCTTTTCATATTACATAAGAATCTCGTACGTTTGCAAGCCTCGAACCAAGGTTTAGCACCAGAAATCGTCACATTTCTCGTCCGGTGAGTTCATACCCCTACGCTTTTTCCGTGTTTTTCAATGTTTTCAGGGGGGGAATACAAGCAAACTATAACTGTTTTCAAAACATAACATTGATGTGTTTCAAATAATATGTGGCAAATTTATAAATACTTTTACCCCTTATGTATTATGCTGAGCATAAGGGATGATTTATCAATTCCAACTAAATGGATTTTAGTTAAGAAAATAACCAAACTAATCAAATTATTATGGGAATAATTTGGGGGTCTTTAGTGTTTGTTTTAATCTGTACTAGTATGTATATAAAGTTATTAGATAAACTATGTCTGATTCAGTTTATCTCCGTATCATTTGAATGTATTGTCAGATAGTTTCATTGTATGTATCTATATTCGCTGTATTATGTTTCATAATCTTTTGGATGTTTGATATCGTATGAGAACCCTGTGAATAGTTTAGTACTAGTTTGTGAGTTAGTCACTACCCTTTATGGATGATCAGTAAATCCTCCCCGGAAGTGTAACCAGAGTCTCCTGGAGGGAGAGCGATGAATTTGTGAATATATCTATTCGGGACTGACAATCCCACACATTAACTGCTAGCTATAGTTAGTCGGGCACGCATGGGGTGACAAATTTATGGATATCGTCCGACGTCTAAAAAGCGTCAAGGAGGTCTCGTTGTCGTATTAGCATGGGTACCCGACTCACAATATGTATTAATATACGTCTATTCATAGTATTGTTTTGACTTTGTTTCGATTCCATATCTACTTTTTATAACGTATCTATAACTTGTACGGGATGATAGTCCCATGGTTTTTAACTATATCTTATTATGGGATGGTAGTCCCATGGTTTTTAGTCTATAGGGTTCGTATCTATTTCAGGATGTTATTCCTATGGTTAGGATCTATATCTAGTTTGGGATAGTGATCCCATGATTTTATCAAACTATCTTATATCTTTTCGGGATAGTAATCCCATGGTTGTATCAAACTATTTGTATCTAGTCCGGGATAGCAGTCCCATGGTCTTTAATTTATATCTAGTACGGGATAATGATCCCATGATTTCAATCTATATCTTGTACGGGATGATAATCCCATGGTTTTGAAATTATATCTAATACGGTATGATAATCCCATGATTTTAAACTTTATAACTAGTTCGGGATAGTGATCCCATGGATTTCAGTCTATATTTTCAAGTATATCAAACTATCTTGTATTTAGTTCGGGATATTAGTCCCAAGGATTTCAAACTATTTTTCCATCTAAAGTACACATATATCAAACTAATTTGTATCTAGTTCGGGATAGTAATCCCATGATTCTCGATATATAGTTTTGTGTTTTAAACTATACTTTGTGTTATTCAATTAATCTTGCTATTAGGAAAATATGGGATTTTCCTGGGGTAAAATACAACACATAATCGAAATGGTAACAAATGATAACTAAACTACTTTACATAAGAAAATATGAGATTTTCTTGGTTAACCGCTTTTCAGGAAATCAAAGGAACTCGTTCTTTTCACAAATTAAAACCACTTATGAACTCACCAGCTTTATGCTGATTTTCAAACCGCTTGTATTCTCAGGTCCAAGATAGACAGGTACCCGGCGATATCTTTTGGTGAAGATGGAGTGCTCAGAAAACTCGTCTCAACTTTTGTTATTATGATGCATATGTATATCTTGTATAACTTTACTTTTGAAACAAATGTAAATTCTATATGTAATGTAATGGTTGTTTACTTTACTTACTATGTGCATTGGATTTGATACTTAACGTGGAGTCCGCCCCGGAAATATTTCCGCCTTTGGTTTTCGGGGTGTGACAATTAGTCTCATTCTCATTATGGTTCAAAGGATTATAACCATTACCAAATAGCATTTCATGGTTTCATTATTTAAATCTGCATGGCAACAAATAGTTTATCCCTGACTCGTTCTGGTTCAAAGGATTATAACCTTTACCAAATAGAGTTGCATGGTTTCATTACCCAACATTGCATGGCAGCAGGCAGTTTAGCTTGCCTCATTCTGATTCAAAGGATTATAACCTTTACCAAAGAGAGTTGCATGGTTTCATTACCCAACTCTACATGGCAGTAGGCATTTTATCCATGCCACGTTCTGATTCAAAGGATTATAACCTTTACCAAAAATAGTTACATGGTTTCATTACCCAACTATACATGGTAGCAGGTAGTTTAGCCCTGTGTCATTCTGGTTCAAAGGATTATAACCTTTACCAAATAAAGTTGCATGGTTTCATTACATAACTCTACATGGCAGTAGGCAGTTTATTCTTGTCTCTTTCTAGTTTAAAAGATTATAACCTTTACCAAAAAGAGTTGCAAGGTTTCATTACCCAAGTCTACATGGAAGCAGGTAGTTTAGCCTTCACTCGATCTGATTCAACGGATTATAACATTTTCCTGAAAAAAGTCACGTGGTTGCACAACCTAACTACATTATAAAAACAAGGAGATAAATAAAACAATCACACAAACAGTGACATAAGATTCACAACAAACAAACAAAAATACATAGCAATATTAAAGCTCGAGAGATTAGCACATCAAACAAAAAGCATGTCATAATGCATATAGAAAAACAAACCATTGTTTTGTTACAAGCCAAAACCTGGCTTACTAAGGCCATGCAGGGCCATCAAAAGAGAAGAAGTAATTTTTATCATCAGACCCATTCAGGGCAGCACAACGGGAACTATGTCCCAAAAAAAAAGCACCTCTCACTTAACCATTTCTCCATATAGGCTGGTGATTTTTATAGCATCGTTGGGACCCGCTCCACCACTGTCGTCATCTGCACAAAGTTGGTGAAGAACATTGATATCCAAAGAGCCCAGCTTCATCAAGGTGGCATAGTCATAGGTGACAAATGAATCAATAACATCCGTCATTTCTCTAGTATGAATGGAAGTGGAGCTAGTAACATTAGGATCAAACTTCCCAGCAGAAACTTCCTTATCCATCGATTCCCTACCATATTCTTCACCACCAGTGTAACACATATGCTTTATTCGACCTACATCCTGTAGAAAGTCAGGGAGCTCAATGATCCTATCCATAATCATTACAACACCTTCCTTAACAAGCCAGTCCAAATATATCCTAATCTTGGACACCTTTGCTTCACAATCCAGATGTAACTCTCTCTCTCTCTCTCCAATCTCTCCACTTGAACACTTAACGCTTCATTTTCCTGAAGAGTATCATCGACTTTTGCTTCCATATTCACACATTGCTCTTCAAGGATCATTTTCTCGCCAGCCATCGAATCCAACTACTTTTGGGCGAACTTAATATTTTCCTCTAGTGAAGCCACATGTTGTTGCAGGCCTCTCTCATTAGAATGGAGCTTCACCACCACACTCTTGAGGCACCTGATACATCGGGTTCCAGTAGTAAGGAAAAAGGCAATTTCGGAAGAACCAAACTCTAGAAAGTCAAGTGTTTGTTCATGTAACATCTCCTTTAAATAGAATAATTAAATAATAAACCCAAAACCCAAGAAGTGATTTTATTATTATTTTATATTATTATTGTCCAAAGTCAAATAATAATTAGTAGGGTGTTGGTTTCGGGGTGCCAAATGATATAATTTTGATTTTCGAGGGTTAAAGTGTAATTTCGGGATTCATGTTGTGAAGGTTTTCAGAAGTTAGTGGGTGTTTAGCCAAATATTGGACTTGTTATGAAAGGATTTTTCAAGGCAGGGGCTTCTTGGTAATTATTAGGACTTAAATTGAAAGGACATTGGAATCATAGGGTCTGAACGGTAACATATGGACTCCATTTGAGAATAATTTGTAGAGGAAGGGTTGTTTTGTAATTGTTGGACTTATATTGAAAAAGAATTATGGGAGCAAGGGTTTAAAGGGTAAATTAAGGATTTGTTTTGAAAGAAAATAGAGGAGGAGGGACTATTTCGGTCATTATGGGGAGAAGTTTGAAGGAGCAGGGTATTTAACTGTTTGACAGCTCGTCCAAAACCCTAACCCTAATAGCCTGATGCAGTTGCCACCCTTATACCTCCCTCTTATCTTCAATCGCCGCCACCTCCTTCCATGGACACCGAAGAAACTTGCTGCCATGCTGTTGAAGATGGAGCTGCAGATGGGGACTCGACCAGGTGCCTCTTCGTCGTTGCTGTTGATCACAAGTTGCATGTTGCCTTGCCTTGAAGTGCTAACCCTAGCCACCAGTGACGATGTGCGTGATCGGAAGAAACGCCATGAACTATGCCAAGGGCGATGTCAAGGCCGTGTGCTGCCATTTTTCTCCAGCTCTTCTTCGACCGCCATCATAGAGCCTCCTAGTGTCGATGCCACAGTCAGAACCATTTCACCGCCGCTTTACGCCACCAGGTGCGGTGGCTGGAATCGTTTTGATCAGAAGAGTGTGTGTGTGTGTGTGTGTGTGTGTGTGTTCTGATGTTGGTGTTTCAGTGTATGTGGTTTTGTTTGGCTGGAAACCATGAAAGACCACCATGGTTGCCAACCATGGTGGTTACCATCGTCTTTTTTGTTCTGCCACCACCAGCCGTCGCGTAGTGGTGGCTGTGTGCGTGTCCTTGCATGTGTGTCTTTGTGTTAATTGGAAGTTCATTGTAAAATTGTAATCAGCCGAAATAATCAATAGAAAAACTCATAACCACCACAGTGAGGTGGTGGCTGCCGCCACCAGCTGCCGTGTTGGGTGGCAGTGTGCCTCGTTTACGTTTTGACTCATTTGGGATGCTTGGATAAAATGGGCCTAACGAAACCCTAGTGGGCCCAATGAAATCCTAATGGTCCCAATGAAGTCCTAATTAACCTAAAAGCCCAATGTGTTACTAATGGGCTAGTATTGGGTTGGAAACCCTAATTAGGGTTTGGAAAACCCTAATATCATGAAACCCTAATTTTAAGAATTGATCGGGACACACACAGGAATAATTTAATAAACTTAAAATATTAATTAATAACCATTGGCAAATTAACCTATGGAAATATTGGACATAATGGATTAAGTCCTTAATGGGTTGAGTAAGAAACACTTAACCCTAATCGTCATTTCATGTGGAAACCCTAATTTCATTTGGGCCTTGAGTTGGGCCTTTCTATTGGGCTTTGGTGATTGGACTATTGATGGGCTTTCCAAGAACAAGTAAATGGACTAAAATAATTTTGAAGGGTTTTAGGATAAGGCCCATGTGAGAGACTTGGGCCCAATTTGGAAAATTAAGCCATAGATGGGCCATAATTGGGCCTTTATGATTATGTGCTATTTGGCCATGGTGATGAGAATTGTTATCGAGAATTTAGAACAGAAAAGATAGATTTGAATGAATTAAGATGAAGAACACAGAGAGTAAATATTAATCAGATCTTATATTGATAAAGTCTGATTACAGAGTTAAGCAGAAGTGAGTTCAAGCATTCGTACTACAACTTCTAGCCTAAGTCCCTATTTATAGGGAACCATCAAAAAGTATACTAAGTCTATACATTTTATCTTCGCATAAAAATGACTTAGTAAAATAACATAAAATGCGAAACTATACAAAACACTATATTCAACTTTTACAATATACATCAACATTCTCCCCTTTGTAAATAGTCGATACAATTCAATTCATAAGCTTTTGAATTGCAGAGTGAATTGTCTTTCGCACCTCTCCATACCAGGAGATCACCTTCTTCAAATCCTTCTTGTCTCCTTCGTTATTTTTCTTGCAATTGTTCATACGTACAATGAAGTGCATATATTGCGAAGAATTATATCTTTCAATCTCTGAGACGTGGAACAAAAACTTCTTTGGATTACCTTTTGTGTCTCTTCCTGAAAACACCATACCAAAATAGTTTGAGACAAATTTCACCAACAACATACTTTGACAAAGAAGATTGTGTCAAAGTCTCCTCCCATGGAACTTTCACTTCCCTTCCCACAACATGTGCTAATTCATCATCAGTAAGGGCTAGACAATCGAAGTAATTGTCTATGAAAGTCTCCACATGTGCGAAGCCAGCTTCGAACACATCTGTATCAGAGCCTTTGAGATTGTTTTCTTCCATATGCTTCAAAATCAGTGCTACTTGAATCAAATCATTGCAATTCATCAAAGGAAAGTCAGCAACTGTGAAGTCATATTGTTTGTTGTCAGCTCTAATAACAAAGTATCTGAAATTCTGTAACATCTCTTCAAACATAACATCTTTCTTTATCGTCACAATCTTCTTGATCTTCATTAATGACCAGACTTCATCAGGATTCTTCCCCAAGACAACATGAAATCTGATTTTCATTTGAGTGTAATCATTCGGATTATCAAATTTCTCACTGATCTTGTATTGTGCATTGATGAATAGCATTTCATTAATTGGGAAGTCCAATTGGCAGTGATCCGAGTTCGCAATATCATAACTTCTCTTTGGCTTTTTCTCGAACTCATACATCTCCCTACATACAACTTTTGACTCTATGGTTTCGTAAGAGTAAAGTTTTGCTGGATCTCCTTTGTTCATGGAGGGAGGATCACTTGCCTATTGCCTCATCATGCTCTGGACTTGCCTCGTCTTCTCCATATCAGCCTCAGCCTCTGCCTTCAACTCTTCTTTTGATTTTTCATATAAAATTCCTTTCCCTCTTCCTACAACATCATGTTGGGGTTTTGAGCTTGAACCACCTTCATGTCTTCCAATAACAATACCCTTAGTAATTGTTCTTGTGGTGATTGTTGTTGCAGAAATCGGCTTAGAAGGAATTGGAAGAGTAGCAACAAGCTGTGTTGATATCACTTTTCCCACAGTTTTCGCATCCTCTTATTTGCTTTGTCTTTCTTCGCCCCCTTGCACCCCTGTGGAAACAGGCGGAGCACCCTTTATAAGTAAAGAAGTAAAACTGGTGAGTGGAGTAAGGGATTTGTGAATAGCTTGTTCTAAAGTATTAATCTTTAGAGACAAGAATTCTGGAGTAAGAATTTGAGATGATGAAAAATGCGAAAGAGCTGTTTTGAGATCAATGACCAACTGGATGAGCTGATCAAATTTCATCATGATTTCGGCTTTGTGATCTGCAAGACCAGGAAGATTATGTAGCTTTTGAAGCTGAGCAGAAATGTCCACAATTTGTTGTTGAACTGCATCTTGTTTGTTGTGGACATCATGAAGATCCTTTGAAAGTTCAGACTTCAACTCCTGAATTTTGAAGTTGACGTCTTCGCGAACCTTTTTAACATCTTGAACAAAAAGAACATGACGTTCTTTTGTTACTGCGCGAAGATCTTGAACTACAGAATTAAAATTATTGCCTTGAGACATAATTCTGAGCTCATTGTTTTTATCAGACTGAGCAATTTTCTCCATTATTCATTTTTCTGCTCCTTTAATCATGATATCAACCTCCATGGTAGATATTGACGACATTCGACCTGAATCAGCCTGTGATTGAATTACGGTCTTCAACTTTTGATTCAGTATTTTAAACTGTTTTCCTGTCATCAGCATATGATCAGGAATATCTTCTTCATCTGAATCAAAAGGAATATCATCAAGTATCCCCCTAAAGGCACCTCCTTCGATTTCTGGATTAGACATTGGTTGCGTAGTTTGCGAAGGTTGAGGATTTTCTGGTGATTGCGAAGGAAATAGTGTGGTGAAAGGGTTTTGTAGAGCATGGTCAAAAATATTTGAAGTGGTAGAAAAAGTGGTAACAGGTAAGGAAATGGGTAAGATTGTTTGAACAGATGGTGCATCACTCAGGATAGGTGCCCCCGTATCAGATACGTTGACAACCATATCAGAAATAGGAACCTCCTCAGTAACTGATTTGGTAAGAACTATTTCGAGTGGTGTGGTTTGAGAAAAAGAAGTAGAAATTTGCAAAGTGGGAATGATAGGTAAAGACATAGGTACCATTGTTGTGACAGGAGGAGTTTCTGGGACAATCTCTTCTTCAAATGATTCATTACGAATCACCATCTTCCTTTTCTTGACCATGGTACGTTGCATATTTTTCGCAACGTCTTCCGCTCGTTGTCGCTTCTTCGTGGGAGATACTGGGGCTGGAATATTGCGAATAGTAA